CAGGAGACAGGAAAACTAGTTTCCCTATGATATTATTCTCACTCTGTGAAAGACTCTGAGAAGATGACCTAAGCAAGTGCTCACGATTCTGAATACTTTCATTGTTGTAATCAATAGCAGCCTCCAGGGCTTCAATTCCTTCTTCTAGCGTGAAAAGGATATGTTCTTCCTACAGAGAAAGACATGACTGAGATCTTTTTTAAAAAAAAAAGAAAGCATTAATCTTGCAAGACATCTTTAACTTAATTCTCAAGAGTGAACTAAACTTATGGGTAAGATAAACTAGTAATAGCAGAGAGAATGGAATAGGGAAAGTTAGAGGTAGAGTGCAAATCTAGAACATGTCTTTTCCTGCCATAGCACTCCTACCACAATACAGAGGTTGACCAAATGGTTCATCACAAAACCAGAAGTCACGTTTCCCTTCCCTCATCTCTGCATTTTAAATGAATTTATTATATCTTCAACATAATACCACTGATCAACTCAAGTGTAGGCCATCCAGGTAATATGATTTATTTTTGCTGTAAAAATATGGAGTCCTTCAGGTGAAGTTGGCTTTTTCACAGAACCCTATGAAAAAAATCAAGGGGTGTCATTATGTGTGCACATTGCTTGTTCTGTGTCCTGACATTAAAATATGTGCCTACGATAAAGTGATGAACTGCTAGTTGCCTTATTTCTCATTATATGATTCTTAGGCCAGTGGAGTTTGGCAAGGCACTATCTGAATTAAGTCCCCTTAAACTTCAACTTTGTTCACTGTTACATATGTAGTGCTATCATAGCAGTATTCTAACATTGTCCTGTACAAAACAACCCAACCTCAGTTCCTTAGTTTTAGCTTATCTAATATATGAAGACATTTTAAGTTCTGATTGGAATGCTTTATTATCCAACACTAGCTAACACCTACATTTATCTCAGGGGTGCTTACGTACTTTCGGTGACAACACTTTACCATCTTTCAGTTTCTCATCCACGCTATTTCTCCTTCTGAGCAGCTGATCCCTTTCCACGTGGAGAAGCTGAATTTTTTCCAAAATGTCTGTCTTATCTTCAGTGGTGCTGCCCTGAAGCTGCATACTTTTATCACACAGTTCCTGGTCCAGCATACTTAAGCAAGTAGACAATCTCATACTATCTTTGTTTAAAGCCTAAAAAGCCCCACAGCAGCCACAGATGTAAAGCTGAGATACTCCCTTCCAGTAAGAAAAATGTAGGTGAGACTGTCACATTCTGAAGTGAAAAAATTGCTTACCTCTTGCCATGAGATGAGACCCATTTATTTTGAGAGGACAGCTACCATGAAATGTACTATTGACTCAAAAGAGGAAAGTAAACAAAAACACTCAATGTGCAGTTCTTTACATACTAAAAATTAAAGGGGCTAGTCATTCTAAGTGACAATGATATTTCAATTTCTATGCACTTTTCCTACTCAAAAATAAATATTGCAAGACGTTTCCCTGTCAAGTTCTCTAATTTGCAAAAGGACTGAGTCATTTTCAGATATCATATTCTTTAATGCTCTACCATAACAGAGTTTCACTCTTTAGAATTATTTCTTTTTGGTTTTTTTGTTTTGCTGTTGGAATTTTGGCCAGTCTTAGCACTGTAATGAGTTTTGTGTGTTTTTCTTAAATCACCTGGCTAGATCTCAGTTTCTTGATTTCCAGATGGCTTTTCTCTTGCAATAAGGCTTCCTTTTTGGCTACAAGGGCTTCTCTTTTCTTTAAATCTTCTTCTAGTTCTGCTAATTGTTGGTGCTGTTGAAGAATTCTTACCATTTCTTCCTCAAGCCACTTTTTGTGCTCTTCTAATTTCTGAAATTTAAATATAGATCCAGAGAGCATTAGCCAGGACTTTTTGGGTCAGAAGTTTATGATTATACTTTGTGTTTTTCAGAATTACTGATAAAACTGCAGAAGACATTGACATTTATAATGTTAAGATTAATTCTGCAACAGAATCTTGACTCAGAATAATACAGAAACTGGATTGACTTAAAAAGGGGCTCAGCAGTGCTACATTGCTACATCCTGTATAAAAAAATTTTTCTCAAATGCATTTAGGGAAATATATTCTAAGAACAGGTATATATAGATGTCATCTGTCTAAGCACAGCAACTATGTTTGGAAGGTACCACGAGAATTCGGCTAGTCCATCCTCATTGCGTTATAGTTGCCCACGAACAGCTCTTTGTGGAGAAACATCAATGATGTTGAAAGAATAAAAGACAGTCAATGACAGCTCTGATCCTGCTAGCACAGTCCATTGTGAATTTACTCTGAAGCTACAGTTTATCAGTGATGCATTCCTGGTAAGACTAAAAAGTTGCATTTATTTGACTTCTAAAATTTCTTTTCACCTTTAAAGACTTTGGCTAACTCGTGTTCTAGTGTCTATGTCTGAAATAATGCAGGTGGCATGGGATACATACTATTCTGACCTTGTTATGAACAACCAAAACCAGAGACCACTCTAATTTATGTCAGAGTAGAAAACAAGACAAAATAAAGATACCAAACAACCCATGGAACATTTATAACAGAGCATGTCAAGATCACCCTCAAACCAAACCTGTTGAATTCTCAGGTCTCTGAATTAGCATTTGTGAGAAATCAGAGGAAAAAATGCATTAAAGGCTCTCCTTTCCTTCATTCAAAAGGTTCAACAGCTGCTAGATTCTATTTTGCTACAGCAAAAAAGTAGACAAAACTATGATGGAATGCTTTTCTTCCAAGCAGTTTACAAAGACAGATGACTAGGAATGGAGAATTATTTCAGAGCTCACACAGGTTTGGAATAGATTAGCTACCTGAAGATTCTGTGGAGTTCCCACTGACTTTTTTTTCTTCTTTTTAAATTCAGCAATTTCTTTATCCTTAAGTTTAATGCTCTTCTGTTGTTGCACCATCTGAAGTTCCCGTGAACAAGCAAAAAGCACTATTCTTCTTCCCGCATCAGTCAAATGCATTAATGTCAGAGTCCTCAACCGTATATAATCTGAAATACCGATCCTAAATTTACCTGTAAAATTGCAACTCAGATCTAGACATCATGTAATAAAATGAAAAAAAAAAGCTGAGAAAGGCAGACTGAAGATTTATGGGAAACTGTACAGACAATTTCTTCAGTGCATTTATCAAGAAAGTCAGTAAGTCATTACTGAAAATTCTGGTAAGCCTGGCAGTGTTGACTTTGGGGAAGTAGAGGCAAGAATTATTCGTCTTGTTCTTTGTCTCACAGAAACAGGAAGAAT